AAAGAACTCTCGGTCTGTTACATGGCCTTCCTTCTTATTTTCAATGCCCACGAAATCATTGAAAGAAGAGTTCAAACGGGGAATAAAAAAGGAGACCTTACGGTCAAGATAGTTTAGACCAAAAGGGGTACCAGTGGGTGATAACCCTAAAAGATGGTTGCACATGTCAAGGACAGTGGGGGCCATCATGCCACACTGGAATTGAAAGACATTGAAAGCTGGATTCCAAAAGCAAAGTGCAGTAGGTATAAGAAAAGGGTCTTTAGGAATGGCAAACTTGGCTAGTAGAAGGGCGTCGAGGAGACAAAGTTCTTGGAGGTCCCATGCCCTGGCAAGGACAACTCGGTCGTACCATTCCTCCCATTTTGGCCTTAATATGGGCTAGTAGCGATGAGGCGGGTTCATCCTCCAGCTTCCCTAGTCAAGGCCATTCTCGTAAAGAAGGCATTGACCCTCTAGACGAGGATACAAAGCAAGAAGTGGGGCTAGGGCTTCTTTGAAAATAGGTCCAAGGATATATTCCCCTTGAGCATGGTGACGAGGGACAAAGATTCACCCATCGATGGTACTTGGTTCACCAGCTTTGTATATCTCCATCTCAATATTAAGACATCTTCTCAAAGATGCAAATTGACTCAAACGTTCAATAACTGGTACTTTTGAGGAAGAAGAAGCCATTAGTAAGAGGTCGAGAAAAATATGGAGAAAGTAAGTATGAGAAGGGTACAAGCTCGAAGTTGACAGTGATGGGAGTGAAAGGAAAATATTGGACAAGTGAATGGGTAAAAAGTGTGAGAAGATGGAGTTTTTAAACCTTTCTGTCCAAAATTACCCATTTAACATAATGGGTCAGACAGACCCAAGTTTTGACCCATGTGTGATTAAGGCTTTTATTTTAGAACTCCTGAAAACACAAAAAAGAGAGCCATAATATGGAGACATCTTATGAAGGAGAGAAACACATTTCAAATACTCAGATTGGCTTCAAGAACATGTAGTTGGCTTTGAAGCTAGTTTTTCAAATACTCAGCTAGGCTTCGAAAGTAGGTAATTGGCTTCGAAGCCAGTTTTATACCTTAAACTCAAGTATAGCTAAGGTTTGTTTACTTCGAAGGTTTTGAGGGTATTCTCTTAGGCTTTCCACAAAAGGAAATTTCCTTCGAAGGAGTCTTTGTAGTGTTTTGTGATTAGAATATGGTTCTTGCCTGATCTTTTGGCATAAATAAGCACTACAAGGCCAGTACTTGGTCAAAAAATATGGAAATTTCAAGGACTAGAGGACTTACCCATACATGAAAGTGCTTTCTTAAACTTTCCACTAAAACAAGTCCCTTCGAAGACAAATGTTGTCATTTTGCAAAAGAAGTTTCATGCTTCGAGATCACTTAAGCAAGACTTCGAAGCAAAATTGGCTAATTCGAAGCTACTGTTTACACAGATTATATGAACGAAATAAGGAATAAGGTCATGCAATTGGAATATGAAAAACCCCATTTTATTGACAAAAACATTTACATTGGGAAAACCTACTTGGTTACATTCTCAATTTTGTAAAAATATGGAATGGACAAAGTTACAAGATCATGAAACTTTGTCCAGCAAAATTCAATAAATACATATTCCTTTTCTTGCCTTTCTTCTATCCTATCAAATTTTGATTTATCTAATTGATGAGCCCTTATTTGAAAGAAGAGTTACTGAGCCTTCATTTCGAACTCTATTTGCTTAAGAGCTCTCTTTGCTTTGTCCATCTCCCCCCTCTCATGCGCATTACCCATATTGGTATCTTCTTCATTGGCATCTTCTCCATAGTCTGAGTCATGATCCTTAAAGTCTTCATACTCTTCAAGAAGATTCTCTACTTCGTACTGAGTTTGAATGCAAGCAGCAGAGAGCTCCTCCAGGGACTCACTACTAGTAGAAGCATTTTTGTGCCAGTTAAGTAGGAGAGAGAGTTGATCCAGGAAAGTATGAAGTTCGGCTGGCCACAAGGTTGAGGATGTGGCTTCAAGAGACAATGTCACAAGCCCATAAAAGATTCTTGTGAGAAGTGTCATCTCAAAGGACCTCAAAGAATAGTGAGAGAAAGCAGCAAGCAAAGTCTGGGCTCTATACTGCTAATAAGCAGTTGGAGGAAAAGGAACTTGGTAGGGAGCAAAATGTTGGCTCTCGAAGAGGGTGAGCTTCAATTCCTCAATCCAATTAGGATTGGGAGGCAGGAAATGAGCAGTTGGGTCCCCTCCAAATGAAGGTGGAAACTGGCCCTCGTTCACACACTCCAGCTAATTAGAGGAACAAAGTTTTTCTTTTTTGGCTAAGAGTGAGGGTTTGATTCCCAAAGCTTCAATGGGCTGTGGGGTCTTTCTCATTATTCTGGTTGGCAAGGTAGAGGCATACCATGCCAAAAGCAAGTTGTCTTCAAGGCAGCGAAAACGATCGAAAGGGACATACGGATACACTACAGAGCTTCTCATAGAGGGATGGATTGTAATGGGGTCATCTAATTCAGGAAATCGATGGTGGATTCGTTCTCTTGTTTGAGGTTAAGTGGGTGTGGCCAAGTATCCTAGCCAATATTTCTAGAAGAAGATGAAGCAACTTCGTCCTATGCAGAGAGTTTTGGATCAAATGAAGAACTTCCAAGATCTACTTGTGCAAATGCTTGGTGCAGAGGTTCGTATGGTGCAAAAACTGCCATAACTTGTATAAATAGGGACAGATAAGTGTGGCCCATAAATGCATGAAGGTTCTTTTGAGGTTGGTCATCATTGTCCAATACCTCCTCGTATGCTTGATCAATGTAAAAGAGGGCTTGATTGGCCATTAAAGATGTATCGGTCCCTTTGAATACACAGATAATGGAAGAAATGTTCAAACGTAAGGGATAATTTAATGAAGTTCAGTGTTTCATTTCTAAGAAGACAGTTACACTTCTAAGATAAACAAAATCCATGCTCGTCCTAGGACATGGACAAAGTGCACTGATCCACTAATATCACTAAATATTCGGTATATTAGTGCAGGCGGTAATGCTGGCTATATACTTTGTATAAGCTAATTGCAGCTTAACATGTGGCTCGTAAAGGGTAATTTGGGGAGTTAATGCGAGCTTCCAATCAGTAACTAACACGTGGTAGTTCATGTTTGTAATAATGGATCTGCGCAATAGTGGAACAGTTAGAAGGCGTAAGATGACGTGGCCTAACGGTTATTCACAATTCAAATTCAAATTCAGGAGGGAGGCCTAACTGCAAAAATGGTGTAGTGGAGGCTAACTGTGCGAGACCATGATCAGTGATCATGGAAGGGTATTTTGACAGTTGGAAGCCCACTTCGACGGTTATCATTAGAAAGTATAAAGAGTAGAGAAGGCCACCAGAAAGAAGACCCAGACTCAGATCCAGAAACCAGTTCTTTACATTTCCACTTCTTCAATTCCTGTACTACACTTCATTTCCTAGGAGCAGTTTCAAGTAGTCGGTGTTGTAAACCTTTTTAGGGTTGGGTCATTGTAACCTCATTGTAAGTTCTTATTTACTTAAAGAAATTCAGTTTCTGAACTGTTCTTTTTACTAGTCATTATTTGTAAGTTTCTCCTAAACAAGTCATCAGTAAAAGTCATCTTCATTGATATTGAAAGAACTTCAACACAATCGTCTGATAATTGGTTGACAATTAAAATTCTATAAGGACTTATTGATCCTTACAGGTACGCTTAAAATTATATAATTAACCTTCGAAAGCCAAAAAAGCCAACACATATTGATCTAATTTTTTTTTTTAAAATGATATATACGTAAGGGCTAACAAAATGAAATGTTTGGATTATTGAAATGGGAACTCGTGGTGAACCCACAGGTCCGAACAATACCCTCCGGTCCATGTGATGGACTGGATAGAAATCCAACCCATTCAGTAATTAGACTGAAGGGTGTCATTGAAGTGGTTGTGGGCCTATTTCAAACTACTTTGTAAACCATTCAATTTGTAGTGTTCATCAAGTAAATTATTTATATAAAAAATTAAGTTAATTATATTACATTTGTCTTAGTAAAAAAATGGATAGTTTATTATCAAAATCATACTTGCAATCTATTTTCTTATTTTTCAAGACAAATATGATCAGTTATGTAATTGCTGATATACGATCAAAGTGATATTTTACATTAATGATCTATTTTGCGATCCCTACAATTTAGGGATTGGCTTCCCTTCAGTCCGTGATCGGACTGGAGGGTGCTGTTGGGTCCGTGGGGGCCCACCACAGGTCCCATTTCGATAATTCGAACCGTTTAATGTGTAGAACTTGTTGAGTATTATATGTCTGTAAAAAATCACGTTGATAAGATATCGATAGCTATTTCATCGGATCAGATTTCTATTAACCGTTTAATTTTTCACCGTCCATTTTTTTTTTTATATACAAAACTGATTTGATCATGTAGTTATTGATATCCAATTAACGTGATTTTTTACAAGTATATAGTACTCGACGAGTTTTACACATTGAACAGTTTAGATTATCAAAATAGAACCCGTGATAGGCCTTTACGGATCCAACAACGCCTTTCAATCCGTTCGGACTGGTGGGAAGCCAAACCCTACAATTTAGATCAATAAAGCGCATCCTTGGTAAGCCCAAAATGGACCTTCCAATCCGATAATTCAATAAACGGCATGCGACTGAAAAGTCGCGTAGTATATAAATAAGTGGAAGACTTCTCTCCAATCATCATGAAAATGTCATGGGCGGTACAATTCACATTATGTGGCCTCGATAATTTGAATCATTTATCATGCAGGGTTTATTGAAAAGATTATTATACTAAAAATAAAGTTGACGGGTGTCGGTATTCACATTATTGAATAACAAAGTATGCAAAAAAATAGACAGCGAGTATGGTTTTAAAAATAAATGGTACATTTTTTTGAATGATTTGATCATGTGATATCAAAATTCAATTAATTTGATTTTTTTGCACGTACAATCTTCCCGTTAGACCTTACATAAGAATGAATCAGATTATCAAAGTGAGCCAAAAAGAACCACAAAATACAAACTGTAGTATGCAGTCCATTTTCATGGACATGAGAGAACCCTTATCTCAATAAATAAGTACTCCTTTAAATAAAAACAGTAAAGCCTCCAATCTTAACCTGTTCCCAATTCATCATAGTAACAACAAGGCAGTTTAAAAGTAAACCCAACTGACTTTCTTCTCACTCTCTGCTTCTCTTTCTCTTTCTCTCTTTGTACTTTGTATTTGGTAGTAACTTGCTTGGCATGGAAAATTTTAGATCCAAGTCATGTAGACATGGAAGCACGATGATAGAGAGCTACTATGGAAGTAGGCCAGATCCAGGTACAGGTCCAATTCCAACTAGCATGCATCACCTGAGAAGTTACAGTTACAGTACTTGTCATACCTCTGAATCTGTAGCCCACAAGAAGATGAAGATGAAGATGGGAAAGGAACTGATAAAGATAAAGAAAGGGAAGAACGCTAGTGTTGTTGAGCCCAGCAGCAGCAGCACCACCACATCAAAAAGTTGGAGTAAGAATATAAATTCAGAGTTGCAGAGGAAAAAGAGAATTGCTGGGTACAAGGTGTATTCTGTGGAGGGTAAGATGAAGGGCTCTTTGAGGAAGAGCTTCAGATGGATCAAGGACACTTGCACTCATGTCATCTATGGATTCTCCTCCTGATCCAAATATCAATCCAATCCAATCCAATCCAATCATCATTTGTTTTCCTCTTATTTTATGTTTCTTTCTGTCTTTCATATAACATATATATGTTTGTCATCTATCATTTATAATAATGCTAGTAGCATGCACTGGAACTACCCTTTTATCTTTATATATATATGCCATGGATTATGAATAAAATTCTGTCTTTGACCTTTTTAAGGCTAATAGTCAAAATCCTCCTATACTTAAAATTGGAATTGTGGATTGAATTTTAAATTATTTTTTCTGGGTTTAAGGAACTTTCTTTCTCATGAAATATTGGGTCAATATATGCTAATATGCTTGAAATTCAACAGGCCAATTTGATCAAATATATAATTTATTCCCAAGGGTTGCAACCTTTTTTTATTTATTAGTGATGTTCACCGCAAAATATGAGAATTTTAAAGATCAAATATTTTGATCTCTAAAAGTAAAAATTTTGTAACAAAAGATATTTAGGGACCAATTTTTATCGTTATGAGATTGTCGTTAAAAGGTTATTCTGAAAAGTCAAAAATAAAACTTTTAATGACAAAATTTTAAAAATGTCACTAATAAATAGACTTTTAGGGACAAAATAATTTGGTCTAAAAATGGTTTATTTTTTTAAACAAAAAATTTGGTCCCAAAAAAATAATAATTCATCGTTAATGTCTAATTTTTGTTGCTAAAAATATAATGATGACAATTTTCACAACAAAAATATTTGGTCCCTAAAAAATAATTTTGTCCTTAAATTTTGGTTTATGAAATCTTAGGTTGCGTTTGGTAGAGTTTTGTAAATATGATTTGAGAGTATGAGTTGTATTTTGAGTTTGTGAGTTTTAAAATTATGATTTGAGTGTGAAAAATTTGTTTGGTGAAGAGTTTTGAAAAGTATTTTGAATTGAGTGGGAAATTTTTGATGTGACATATGATGTTTGATACAAAAACTTACAACTCATAACCAAACATACAACTCAAAATTCTATTAAAAAACATAAAAAAATTAAAAAATTCGGAAAATATTTTTTTTGAATATATAAAATTTAACATATGTAAATTGTAAAAAAAAAAAAAAATTTGCACTGTTCTGGTCAACCGGTGGGACGACCGGTTAGGCGAAATTTGAAAAAAAATTCTGAAAACCGGACCTGAGACAGAGTGTTTTGTGCAAAATTTTGAAAACATTATTTGAAAACTCTAACCAAACATCATATTTGAATTAAGGTGTGGAATCATAATTTAAAATCACAACCAAACAGAGCCTTAATTTTTTGTAGTGGCTTTTCAGCTAAAATGGTTGGGGTTAATGGATTTCTTCTTGTGAGGTGTATTTTTTTTTTTTTTTTGGCCTGGCCTTTTTTTTTTGCTTTTGCCTTACAATTGTTGGTTTCTCTGAGTACGTTATAAAGGAATGGATCTTTTTGTTTTAAGAATTTGGTTCATATGTTTATAAGTAGAAATTAGAAAATTAAAAAATAAATGAGAAGTTTCCATCACCAAAATAGCTCTCAATTTTAATTCTTCCCGCAAGATAAATGTTAGGCATAAGTCGTGTGTCCTCTTATGTATGAGTCCAGTGCGATCCAAATCAAAGACACTAACTGACAAAAAAAGTAGGCACAGTTTAGTGGATGCAGCCTGCTAATATTAGAAGATTTTGGCTGCAAGTCAATTTACACATGGTTTTAAATAAGGAAGTTTAATTATTTATTCTAGAATTTGAGTAAGGGTCATTGAATCTCTTGGATTCTGCACCGGATGAATAGAATGGAGATCTTCATTTCATAATTTAAATTAATAATTTTTTATTATAAATTCAAAATTTGATTAAGAGAAGTCATAAAATTTATAACGATGTGGTAGTAATGGATCATTCAATTTGGATTTTGATAATGTAACACAATCTTAATTTATGACTATGTATTATATATATGAGAGGGTAATTTACAGCAATGTTAGGTGGCCACAAATTCTGTGGCTCGAATGGCTCGAAACACTCAAAACGACGTCGTTTTGGGTGCAAAACGACGCAAAACGACGTCGTTTTGATAGTTTCGGGCTATTTGAGCCACAGAATTTGTGGCCCTCAAACATTTTTCGGTAATTTATATATAAATTAGGCCGTGCTGGGTAATGGGCCGTTCATTGGGCCACGGTAAGAAGGACTGGATAAACAGGGGCTTAGAGTTAGCCCGGTCCAGAGAACGCCTTATTGTTATCTCGGTCCAGAGGAGCCTTGCAGTTAGCCCGGTCCGAAAGAGCTTGGTGGTTAGCTCGGTCACCACGGTCAGCGCAGTAACAGTTAGCCCGGTCATACCACATTGAGCCAAAGTATGTTAAGCCTTCCTCAGAACCATGCTATGGATTAATTCGGTCCTAGCTTAGTATGGTTAGCATGATCTCAACAGCCTGGTTGGAGTATGTCGAACCGAGGTACACGCTGTGAAAGGAAGAACCGAGCTAGGTGGAACTCGGTCTAGTCTGCGGCTTTAGCATGGCCACGTTATCTCGGTCGTATTGATATCCAACCTAGGTAAAACCATCTCACTTAGTTTAAGCAGTGAGGGGGGTGTTGAAGGATAAGTATTATCTTTCAGGAATGTGATTCTTAGGAGGACTCTACATGGAGGAGTAAGAGTCCTACGAGGATTGTGCCACGCAGAACATATAAAAGCTCATAACATCACCTATGGAGAGGTAACACAACTTTGATTCTCGAATACACAGAGCTTTGTCTATTTGTCTATTTTTGCTGACTTAGGCATCGGAGAGGTATCCGGCACACACCCGTTGGTTAACTCACGTTTGTGTTTCCAGGGAGTAAAGCGACGACGTACGGAGGAGCGCAGACTTGATCAACAGGATTATACGAGAATATTTATTTCTTTCCCGTACAATATATATGGGGTATTTTTTAGAAAGTTCTATTTCTAAATGGTATATTCTATTCAATCCATCTTCGATTTTAATATTCCGTTCGGCTTTGTTTAAAGTAATATGACCAAATTACCCTTCTAACTTTTTGCACATGTTTTTATTTTGAAACCAATACACAATAAAAATAATAATAGTCTTCATTTCATGGAGAAAATTTATCCCCCATTCTAGAGAGAAAATCTCTCCCTCATTCTATGGAAAAAATATTTCTCTTATTTTATGGATAAAATCTTTCTCTTATTCCATAAAGAAAATCTCTCACATTCCCAAAATCATAAATCGGCTATCTTATGAAAATCTCTTACTAAATTTTGATATGAACTTTCACATTACAAATGTGTTTTAGTAAATAATATCACTCATGGAACCATATACAGACTCAATGTTACATAAATTTGTGAATATTAATATTCGGTGTGACTATCTATTTGTATTGCAAAATTAATGTGAACATTCGCATCTCTCTATGTACACACTATATTTGTGACCAAGACAACATATTATTGTTTATATTAGTAGTGACTATTTTTAATGTAAATATTAACACATTGTTGTTCGCGCTTGTATGACTATTTCTGAATGTGAATATTAATATTAATTAATAATGTGTTGATCACAACACCAATTGTAAGACATTATAATGTGATAATCTAGACCAAGCATTGCCTTCATACAATGTGAACATTCACACTATGTAATAAGTAATCATGCAAAAACCATGCAAACTCATACAATAATCACTGATATGCGAACATTCACATTATGCAATAATCATTCAATTATTAGTCTATATTGCACATCATGCAACCATCACATGTTTCTAATGTTAAAGTTTGTTAGGTTTTTATTTTTGGCAATCCCGGTTGAACAAAACTCCTTTTAGTTGTACTTATTTTCGTATTTTTTATTTCAGTGAGGCTATGAGTGTTTAGATGCGAATCCAACCCGAATTATGCCTTGTAGAGAAGTTTGTGATGATTAATGCTTTCAAGATTGCCACTTTGGTGATTATGACGGGGATCGAGCTGCCCGGTCAGCTCGCGAGGGTCCAGGGGGCGGGGGTCCAGGGCGGGTCCGGGGCAACGCCTTGGCGGGATTGAGGGGCAGTGCCCCCGAAGCAAAATGAAAAATTGCATTCGAAGTTGCATGTCTGCCCTTGCTTGCTCGAGCGAAGGCTGCGTTTGGCAAAAAACCTGAGAATAATGAATGTACGCTCGAACAAAGGTTGTGTGGCTCGAGCGAAGCCACTGTCACGACCCAAACCCGCCCCTATGGGTTTAGCACCGTAACCGGCCAGTAACCCGAGATTACCAAAGGCCTCCTTAACAGTCAGACAATAATATAGAGTACAGGGGCATGGCGGAAGCCAAAATAGTAAATAAACAATGTCCAATGAGCTGTGAGTCTGTATGCAAAAAGATTTTTCATACGTATATACATGAACAATACAAAACAATATATACAACATTTACAGTCGATCAGAGTAGGGACCTAATCCCTATTAGACAGTACAGTACTGTAGTGACCCTCATTCCTCACCTTAGCCTCGGGCATGAGCATTTGTATAATCTTGTTTTGCTAAGTTGCAGTAGTGAATTTTCTTGACTTGTCTTAACTAGAATGAGATTTTTTGTTGGTTTATACTTACGTGAAATTTACTTGTTGAGTCTTGTTTTTTCTGGTGAGTCTAGCCGAGGTCACCTTAAAGCCAGAACCACCTTGAAACCATTTTGGTTGACCTCTACCTTCGTCCTGGCATATTAGTCGAGATGTCATTTTCTAGGCCGAGGTGTATCATCAAGGCCGAGAGGTGTATCATCTAGGTCGAGATGTTATCCTTGAACCCAAGTGATCTTGTTCCGGATTGGTGCGACCTAGACTGAGGTGTGGCACAGCTAGGCCAAGTGTTGTCCGTCCTAGCCGGGATCATAGATACCTCACCTACCGGAGCCGATGTTTTCACCCGATGTCAGTACCTTGTCAGAGTGCCATGCCGTTTTACTTGTTAAACACCCTTTCGCCATACTTTGTCTGGTCTGTCAGCCACCTTTTCGGGGAGAACCAACCAGCCGTTGCCACGTGTCCAAGCTGAGTGTTAAATCAGCCAGCAGTGAGTAGAACCTATCATTTGTATCATATCTTTGCCTTGAGAGAGAGAAGCTCTAGAAGGAAGGAGTTTTAGAGCGAAGGAGTGCATCTTCGAGCTTGATTCTTAGAGATCTAACCGTTAGATTCGTGTATTAAGGTTAGATTCT